ATCTCAGATTCTCCAGCATCAGCAGTTCCTACTATCTCTAGAAGTTTTTGAGGATGTCTTTAGTAAGGCATTTCCAAGAATTCACAAAAGACCCTCATTAAAGTCACACAAAAGGGCTCATGGAGTTGGAAATAGTATATTAGTATCAATGGAGGATTGGCTTATGGACAGCAAGGAAAGAGGTGGAAAAATGGTAGCTGGATTAAAAGTTATGATTGCAAATGATTAGTGAAAAATATTTAAAGAAAGTTGACAAGCTGTGACTAGTAGAGTGCCACAGAAATCGTTGTAGGACTTCAGCTATTTATAATCTATTCTAATAATTTAAACAAAGAAACCAAGTAATCTCAAAATGTTTGACAACCAATAATAAACTAGGAGTTACTTTCTCTGATATGGAGTACTGTCTCCCATACTTGTTTACTTCTTTGGAGAAATATCCACTGGCCGCTCTATTCCAAATTCACCTTAAATTTTTTTTTAAAGTCTGAAGCTGTAAGCAGAGGCTCACTTGTTGAAGTGGCCTCCAGATTTTCAAAAATAGTTTTGAATTTCTCAGTCCATACTATCTTTGTTTTTTTTTCTGTATTATTTGTCAGTTACATGGCTATTATATTGTTGTTTGGTACAAACCTTCAGTAGAACCTATACATTCCCAAGAACCTCATGATTTCCTGTTTTATTGTGGGAATGTGGAACTGTGCTTCTAAATCTACCTTTGCAGCTCTGGGCAGTTCTCATCCTTGACCTAGGTAGTTCATGTTGGCCTTGGTAAATGCATTCTTTGCAAGACTGACCACTAGGTCTGTACTTTATGGAAGCCAGTTGCTCTAAGTATGTTTTCCAAGTGTCACTGTACTCTAGAAAGTCATCTAGACACACTACACAATTAAATAAGTCTGCCTTTTAAAAGTGCATAGGGCATTTCAGAGTCTGAATGGCATATCTCAACACTGGTCTAATCTGTTTGCTGTTACAAACGTGGAGATTTTCTTCTTGTGGGCAGTCAAAGGGAACCAACCAATAACTCTTGAGTAAACCCGTCTTGGTAATCTAGGCTCCTTTACCCGTCTCTGCAATCCTCCAGCTGGAATATCAGGTTGGAGTTGGCTCTGGTAATTACATTAAGATTTTAATAGTCAACGCAAAGCCTTGTGGAGCCATCTGGCTTGGCATTCTATTTCTGATGGCCTTTATTAGTTGGTGCTCCAGCATGTACTATGTCTCCTCCCAAATCTGGGCCAGCTTTTCTGGGTTTAGCTGATAGGGCTGTTGCCTCATGGAAGGGCCTCTCCCACATTCTTATCCTTATTACTCTGGCATTACAACCTGGCTTGTCTCTGCATAAGCCCTTGAATGCAGTATGTAAACTCATTGAATCTGCTCGTTGTTCTGCACCTAGATAGTGTCATATCCATTTTCTAGGGAGCAAAGATTTAAAAATTGTAACCTGAGAAGCAGCAGCAAAGTTGTATTGTCCGTTGTGATAAAATCTACTTCCACCGTGTGGCACAGACAGGTTTCCAGGAATGGGGTGTTGTTGAGTGCCAAACACACTCAACTTTTTGCCATCCTGAAAATTATTAGTTGCTGGCCAAATGCAGA